TCTCTTCCTTGCCTCCCCTCCCCTCCCCCCCTTCTCCATGGAGTTGTCTTCCTTGCCTCCCCTCCCCTCGTCTCCATACCCTGCTCCTTTCGAGCAGCTGATAGCAAGACGCTGCATCCAACGTTACTGCACGCGGGCGCATCAGCCTTGCAAATCGAGTCGAATGAGAAGTTCGATCCGACTCAAGGGAAGAGCAGGATGCAACTCAATTCCTGCACCGCTCAAGGCCGGCACGTTCTACAAACGCTGTTCGATAATGCAACTCGATCTGGTATGTCGATGCGTGCCGCTCTGAATTCATGAGATGACGATGAAACGACGATGAGATGATGAAACAGGGAAGTTCCGTCTCCGATGAGAAAAACCGAGGGTGAACCCCATCGCTACATGCGTAAATACACGCGCACTCGATCGCATCAAACGAACATCTTCCAAGAAACGCATTCGCAGTTCACGTCGCGAGAGCGTTTTTCCAATCTTCCCTATGGGAAAACATTCCCCCCCCCTCACCCCCCCTCGCCCCCCCCTCCATACCTCTTCACCGTGTTGCATCACGTCCTTTTTCCTGGAAGAAGCGATTGAGAAACGAAGCTCGATCCGCGATGGGATCGCGCGGCGAAAGCGATTACTTCGGCGAATTAATAAGTTGGAACTGACGACTCCCTCGTTGAAATTACTCCAGGCGGATGACTCACCGAGCAATCAAAGGCTTTTCATCTATCTTCTGTATCTTTCCCGGAAATTTTGTTTCCGATCCTTGACATCGGTAGATTCGAAGTCACGGTCTTGTTTACGAGGAAGAATCGTTTCGTGCCCGTTTGTGTCATGTCGGGCGATGCGGAACGCACCGAGAAGGCAGGAGATCTGGCAACCCTGTAAGCTGTTTTCGGATTTTTCGTCCGAAGATACGTCCCGTATTTTTTTTGGCCACATAGATGCACAAGGGGAAGCTCGTCGACAACCGTCCGTCTCTTTCGCCCCCATTCCCCTCCCCCCGCCCCCCCCTCTCCCCCTCAAGTCTGAAATCGCACGCCCCAAGGTCAACCCAGTGCATTATTTATGTGATCCACCTCATTCGGATTTCATGAGGCTCCGGCAGTCCCCGCTCCGCAGTGCCCATTCGCGCGACGGCTCCATCTCGTCCGGTCCGTCTCATCCGCGTCGACGTGCCTTTCTCATCCGTGTCGACGTACTCGTCTCATCCGCGTCGACGTGGTTGCGAGCGATGCCGAATTTCGTCCGAGGGCTGAGCGTGCGGGATATCCGGTTCCCCACGAAACTGAGCAAGCATGGGTCCAGTGCCATGGTACGTGCTTCCTCCCGTGCTTCCTCGTGTGCTTCCTCTCGTTGCGAGATATGCAGTTTTCCGTCCGTTCGTAGGTTTCAGATCCGGATTATTCCTGCGCCTACGTCGTCCTCTTCACCAGCAGAGGCTCCAAGGGAATCGGCTACTGCTTCACCATCGGAAGAGGCACCGAGATCGGCAAGTTCATCTTTCTTTCTTCACGAACAACCACGACGACTCCATCCTTCGCGACCTCACCCCTTCCGAAGCAAAAAAAAAAAAAGAACCGTCCTCGGGACGCCTGCAGCCCATACGGAATGCAACGACCCAAAAATCGCGCGGAGATGTCGGTCATCGATAGGGAGATGGGAAGGCTTCGCTTCTCTTTCTCTTCCGACTTGGATGAACCATCTCGGTCATGAATTTTTCTTCTCGGGTCGCTCTTCTACGTTCTCTCTGCTCGGAAACGTTCCAGAGATGCGCATGAATCAGTCATCTTAGTCAACAGCGGAACTATTCCATTTTTTTGCATTAATCCCTTTCCCGCTGAGCTTTCCTTTATTTAAAATAATATTTATTTTTTACCCTTTAGACGCCGTATGATCGTTTGACACGAGGTGACGAGCTAAAATATCCCGTGTGGCGTCTAAAAAAAAGTAAAATTTGTTCTTTTTTTCGTTCACGACGCAATTAAGACAATCCCATTGATCACTCGCACGATAATTCGGTATGCAATCTCATCAGGAATCCCATCGCTCGTACGTGGACAGGCGTGATTGGCGGGGAGTGCTTAAAAATATGTTGGTCGGGCGCATCTTGAACTCGTAAAGCAATCCATTTTAAATTTCCATTTAAAAAACGGTCACAGTTGAACGTACGCCCTGACTAAAAGGGTTGAAGTTCCGAGAAAATAATGGAATTACGAAAATTAAACATTCAGAAACTCGTTGGGCTGATGGAGGTCGACTCGAGAGCCTTTCTCCTATGAAGTTCTGTTGAACGTTGCAGTTGTGCAGGCCGTGAAGACGCTGTCTCACCTGGTGGTCGGCCAGGACGTGGACAAGATCCTGCACGACTTCGCGACGTTCTGGAGGAAACTCACCTCCGACTCCCAGATACGCTGGGTAAGCCTCGGGTTGGAGTGACGTAAGCGCAGGCAAGCGATGCGATTGGTCGCTTCCCCTCGCGATGGGGCCAATCGGGTGCGACGTCCTCCGCTCGGGTCGGGTGCATGGACTTGCAGGCGTTTCTCTTCCGTCAGCTGGGGCCGGAGAAGGGCGTGATCCACATGGCGGCTGGAGCCATCATCAACGCTCTTTGGGACCTGTGGGGGAAGTTGGAGAACAAACCGGTTTGGAAGCTTCTCGCTGACATGTCTCCGGAGCAGCTCGTCTCCACCATCGACTTCACTTATCTGTACGGTTCTGAGAGGGGGTGAGCTTAAGTTTACTTACGGCGATGTCATCGGTTACGGCTTCGCGAATATTGCGTGCAGGTCGGACGTGCTGACCAAGGAAGAGGCGCAGAAGATGCTAGAGGACATGCAAGAGGGGAAAAGGCAGAGGGAGAAAGAAGTGATCAACATGGGATATCCAACCTACACGAAGTCCGGGGGTACGTGAGTCGTGGGTGATGACGGATAGCATTTCATTTTCTCCTTGAATACGTTTTTTTCGATTCCCCCGAGAGACCAGTTTTGATAGGGGACTCCGGGTTACCAAGGCAAAGGTAAATGATTTTTTAAATTTCCATTTGGCTGTAAAATATCTATTCTGATAGTATAAAGTCGAGGAGTCGAAGAATGGATTTGCACCACAATACATGTAGATTAAATCATTATTCCGTAAGCTGAGAGTGACGCCGATGGAAGAAACCCGCGAAAGGCAGGAATGAAAAAAATATGCTTGTATACGCCACTTAACCATACCCCGAGTCGCTCCGATCCATTTCACCTGTTCAAAACTCATTTCAGCGCTCAAATTTCCCCCCTTTGAGGTTCTTCCCCTCTCGGCTGTTCGCAAACTGATGTCCATCGGTGATTTCCCTTTGCCCCGTCCACATCCATTGATTCATCTTGTAAACATGTATCACGTATTGCGGGAATAATCTCCGTTCGGTCCGGTAAATTCAGGAAGTCCAAACTCCAAATCAAAACTAATAGAGAGTTATAGTTAAACTCGAAGACCCTCTGTACGATCCCACAGCCATAACACCAAGCAAAAAGGAAAAGACTGAAAGGACGATGATAAGCACAAACGAACACAACTCAAGGAACACAGAGGAACAGTCACAACTCCAGGAGGAAACTCCAAGGAGCTACTGACAAATGAAAATGCTCTTTGTCCCTAAATCCTCCCTTCAGCCCAGGCCCACTCAGCACCTTTTGATGTAACGGGGTTCTTCATTGGTTGGGTTCTGTTATGTTGGATGGCGCCGTTGGATGGTACTGGGAGGTGTTGCTGGCGTGGCTTACTCGTTAGGATCAATTTTAATGGTGCTTTCGCCCTCGGAATTGCTACAATTTATGGGTCAACGTGTTAAGACATTCGATCCGGAAAAAGGATTCTTCGATTTTTCAGTTGAGGGATTACTTTGTTCGGTGAGGTGTCTCATAATGAATATAGAATAAGTAACGTTTCTCTTGAGTGTAAAAGAGTAGCAAGGGGTCGACTTGTTTTTAAAAGAGGCAGGAGGAGGGTAGGGGGGGGGGGGGTCACGGTCGATCTAGTCTTCGACCGATGAGGATGAGCTCTCTGGCATCCGGCACCGAGTCCCTGGGTGCGGCATCCTGATCCCGCGGGAAACATCTCGGGCACCGTTGCATGGTCGCTGATGGCTTCTGGGACTGTTGCATGGGGTTCTCGTTCGCTTCACATGGAGAGCCTCATAGTTGCGTCTGTTCCTTCATCATCTTCGTCTCCGCCTGCGAACGTGGACCTTTCCCTGGTCCTCTTTCCCCTTTCCCTGTTCCCTCTGTGTGGTTTTAAGCTTCTCTTCGCCGACGATCGAGTCTCTGATCCTCACATCATAGATGCTTGATGGTATCCAGAACTGAGGGTAGGAGAGAAGTAATCTTCTGTGGAGATCTGGCCCTTTCGATTCTAAGGAGCCAATCTGTACCGTATTTCATTATATGCAGAAGTCGAACGTGAAAGATGAGCGCCGTCTGTTAATACCTTCCTTGGCGGGTCTTTTTTATTGCTGCTGACGTCACTCTCAGCTGACAGGTTCACGATGGCATTATAGCTACGTAAAAGAAAAAGAAACTTAGAGAAGAAAGAAAAGAATTATTCCTGTATCACTTACCGCATGCCCATGAAGCAATGAAGATTTGTCCCAACAGCGACAACTTGCGCGAGTCCTGAGAAGAAAAAAAAAATTAAGCGAAGCCAGATGATACGAAGATCGAGTCTCAATTTATTGAAACGCGATCTCGTCCCTAGTCCCCGACACACTTCCAGTTGCCAGTAGTTGCCAAGACGAGCTATCTCGTTGTCGACTCGGAAACGACTCTTTTGACGAGAAGGCTTTTTCCAGCTTGCCTGAATTCGGTCGTGGTCTTCGGACGCCTCTGGACGAAGGTTGCAACTGCTGGGTTCAACTTGATGAAATTCGTCCAGAAAATTTCCCAGAATTTCGTCGAACGCCGCACGACGAAAAGGCAGAGTCTAATGGCGCCGCGAAATCGAACGAAGCAAGAAGGAAGGCAGAAGCGCGACTCGAGCGACTCGTCATCCCCCGACAAGAGCCAGGCCCATCTCGCTCTGATAACCGTCGGAGGACGAAGGGAAAAGCGAGGCATGGTGCAATCCTCCCGTCATATCGCCTCTTTTCATTGGTTCTGGCCCGCATATAGGCCTGCACCCCGACACATACATCCGTTCGAGTCAGGATGGCCGAGTGGTCTAAGGCGCTGCGTTTAGGTCGCAGTCCGGTGAATCCGGGCGTGGGTTCGAATCCCACTCCTGACAAGCACTTTTTTTTACCTGGACACGGCGCGTCGGCTGCGGAACTTCGCGATAAATTTTTCCAGTGAGGGAACGCCACGAAACCGAGGACCTCAGGTCGGTGCGAACACTACCGATCGCGGCGTTCGGGTTCAATGT